ATTTAAGAACAGTTTGTGGGATTCCAACAGTTTCCCAGTGCCCTGAATCCACGTAAGTCGCACGATTGTTTTTTCTTTGTTCCCAATCGGAAAGAAATATACAATTGCAGTAGCCAGTTCCGTAACCCTGATTTAAAGCTAATGTTAAACTGAAAGGCATTCTTCTACAAGGAATTCAATTAAGCGAAAAGTTAAGATATAAAATACAAATCGGCAGACTAAGCCAAATCGGTTTCGTCAAATGCGTTCAAAGAGATAAAAGAAATCGCGATAAAGAAGAAATCGTCTGTTTTTGCATTTGTGTCCCGTTATTAAACACGCATATTAAGGGTCCCAAACAGAAGGAGGTCGCAATTGTTCAGACTGTAGTCAAGAACATAGACTATTTTTTAATATAAAACCAAAGACTTGGGAATTTTATGTTAAAAAGAAAATACTTTTATTTATTTTATGTTAAAAAGTAAATACTTTTTTATTTCTCATAAAGAAATCTGAGTGCAAAGTATTTGTACACCACTGTGCAGCATTGCCGCCAGCCAAGCAGCGCAAATCGTTTCGTCAATGCGTCAGTTTCGCACTTTGCCAATTCGCCAATTCGTACTTTCGTTGGCAGAATCGCCTGCCCTTCGGCGCCCGTTTGCCGTGCTGGAATCTTTGGCGAAAAGCGCAAAATTGTTGTACAATTGCCTTTGTGTGTATGTGTGTGTATGTTGTGTGTGTGTGTGTGTGTGTGTGTGTGTGTGTGTGTGTGTGTGTGTGTGTGTGTGTGTGTGTGTGTGTGTGTGTGTGTAAGGATGAGTGTACTTAATGCGCCAACGAGAAACGCACACGAAATGGTCGCTGTTCGCTATCGTCGTCGTTGCCATCCGCAACCCGCTTTGGAGCCCTCGAGCAACGCATTAATAGCAATGCGCAGGGAACTTACACACACACACACATACATATACATATATACATACATACACATGTACATAAACAGGAGCAGGAGCAGAAAGCGAAACAGCCGAGCACAGCAGAAATAGAAATATTCAGCCAGCTGCTGCTGTTCTCTGCGGTCAAAACGTTGCCTGCAGGCTAGAGATGGGGATGATGGGTGGGTGGGTATGTGGGTGTGTATGTTGAGACTTGCTGAGCGCAGGGGAGGGGGAGCTCTCTCTCTCACTCTCTCTCTCTCTCCCTCGGCACACTGACAAACTGGAGCAGGGTAAGTGGCGACACCGGTTTGTTGCGGCTGCCTTGTTTTCGATATTGTTGTTAAGGTCCTAGGGTGGAGGATTTAATGAAGGATAACACACACACACACACACACATACACACACACACACACACACAATAATGAAGCAATTGCAATTCTCCACAACACTGCATCCACACATCTAGTACAACAACAATGGCGTTGTTTAAGACCTAGCCTTTTCTCGCCTCCACTGATGAATTTCCTGTGCAGCAAACGAAGCTGAATGTCATAGAAACGGGAGGCAACTAAGTGCATGGGGCATGCCCCCCTGCCTCCCTGCCTGCCGCCTCTCTGCCCCCCGTGCCTGCTGGTAATTGAAACGCTCGAGGAGGATTGACTGGCCTGGACAAAGCGGCAGTAAGGCCGACCAGTCCTGACGCTATCTAATCAACATAATATATCAATATATCAACAAGTTGTTGCTGGCAACCTAAAAAGACATCGAAGAATGCACGCCAAATTGATGCGGAAATTTGCCAATCTCGTTGCTCCATTCAATCAAATTGGCAGTAATTTCCATAAATCTGCACAATCTTTTTTATTTCAAATCAATCTACAGCCAGAGAGGGAGAAATAAAGAGAGAGAGAGAGAGGAACTAAACCGAAGCTAAGCTTCTTGATATTCTTGAGAATAGTATTTCACAATTTATTTTATTTATTTTTCAAACATTTTGCACATTTTCAAGTCTCATTTATTTCAAGGCCAACATAAACTATAATTATAGATATTTTTAAAAATATTGAATCGAAAATATTTGGTTGGAAATATTAGAAATATTTTCGTTAAAACGTGAAATTTTAGGTTTAGTTACAAACATCTAGCTCTTCACTTCTATTGCATGTTTCCATTTTCAAATCATCAGAATCAATATCAATTGAGTTCAAGATTTTCAAAATGCTCTAAAAATGTGAAATTTTTGATTTACTTACAAACTTCTAGCTCGCATGTTTCAGTTTTCAAATTCCCTAAAACTTTTTCATTTTTGTCAACCAGAACCAAATTCGATTGAGAGCAAGATTTTCAAAGTGCTCCAAAAATGTTAAAATTTTTGTGCGGAATCGACTATCAGCTTTGAAAATTCAATAAGTACGTATTTTTTTGTAAATCACAACCAATTTCAATTGAGTTCAGAGGCCAAACCAAGCCTCTTTTTTATCCGATAGAAGCGAAGTGAATACTCAATTGTTCAAAAATACATACAAGTATAACAAAAAAGAGGTATACAAGACTTCTTATTCAAATCTTTCTTTATTTATTTTACACGCTAAGAACTAAAATATTATTTTGTCGTTCAGTTATATTCTTTTGCAGAGCAGCGCTGAGAAATTATGTGTATAAGGGAAGAACATCGCTGTTCAACTAAAATATAAGAAGAAAACTGATTTACCAAACAATATTACTAAAGATTTACTTACTATAGTTTTCTCTATTCAGTATACAATTGCAAAATATTTCAAAACTTTGTTATATAGGGGCTTGTGAATGTACATAAGCTTTATCTTCAATTCTTTTTTAGTTTCGTAACCTGAAAATTTCTCATACTTTTCGTAAATCATTTCGGCTTGGGAATACATCCACTACTAATAATAATCGAATACTTTCGAGTCGTAAAACACGATTCGCATCTTCAATGTCTTAAATATATAGTATTTGTCGTTGTACTGCTTTTAAAACAGTGTTATTTAGTTGTTTTTCAAGATTTTTTCTAAAAAGAACAAAAACTGACGGTTATAATCTGACGGTTGGGAAATTCCCCAAATCGTGTCGAAAAATGGTGAACCCAATAATTGAACACCCATAAAAAATGGATGTATACTTTAAAGGCTTTAAGAAAGTTGCACGTTTCTTGCAATTAACAAGTGATGGCTTAGAATGGCTTTTAAAATGTTAGCTTTGAAACGAAACAAAAAATGTGAGGCTGCAGAAGAAAAGTAAATAGAACATTTTTATTTGATATGCTTACTTCAATATAAGCCATGGGAGGACAGGCAAATGGTTTCCACTGCAATTAATTTGACTTCAATTGTAACAAATAGGAAATCGTTTTCTACTGCAACAAAGCCTACAATTGTTTGTGCAATTACACAGCTGTCGCAAACAGTTCTTCTTTTCAATAAGGCGCGCCCCACTGTGCGCCCGTCCAGATCCAGTGCCCAATGGCCAGGTCCTGTTCCTGGCACACTCGCCCGCCAGCAGCAGCAGAAAAAGCAACACGCGAAGCAGCGTGGAGAGCGCAAGCGAAATTAATTAAACACAAGTCGCGCGCCAAAGACAAGCGACAAACGACAAATGCTGATGAGCAGTTAGGAGGGCGAGACGAGGCGAGGGGAGGGGAGGGGGGAAGGCTGCTGGACATATACTCGTATACCAGAAATATGTAGCTGCAAGTATTTTCCACTTTGGACTGTGACAGCGACAGTCTGTGAAGCCAAACTATTCAGTTGTCGTTGTCTGTCACAGCCCACTCGTCGGACTATTAATGGCTCCCACTTTTGAGAAGCGTCCTTAAAGCCCTCCCCTGAAAATATGTACCAGTGATATTAATTCCAGGTATTGAATCGAAAACGGAAGCTAAACTCATAAAGCAACTGCCAATTTTTAGCAAATAATACATTTTTGTTTCACTATTTGCTTTGCCTTTCAATTATTGAATAAGTGTAGAGATATTTTCGTTGCCTAAACCATCTTTAAAAGAGCATTTGAAAAATCGAAGGCTCTATTTGATATTTTTTCAATACTGTATTGATTCTATATCATATCAATTGTGTTTTAAAAAATAACTTGATTAAATCTTTCCATTACATTTTTAAAATCGAAAATTGTTTGCAAGTTTGTTTCATTGTTTGCCTTACCTTTCAATTATTGAATAAGTGTAGAGATATTTTCGTTGCCTAAACCATCTTTAAAAGAGCATTTGAAAAATCGAAGGCTCTATTTGATATTTTTTCAATACTGTATTGAATACTTTTTGATTCTATAGGATAAAAATCATATTTTATGTTGATTAATTGTGTTTTAAAAAAACTCGATTTCATCTTTCCATTACCTTTTTAAAGTCGGAAATAATTTATGAGAATGTTGGCATTGAACGCTTCGTAGAATGGGGAAGTGAGAACGGAACAGAACACAGTCGTATAATCGATTTCCCGACTAATTAGGTTATAGAATAACGAAACATAAATATAGCAACAACGATTTCCTTGTTATCCTCAAGTCATTAGCCGCATCCTGTTGGCTGAAACTACACAAGACAATGTAAGAGAAACATTACAAATATTTATCTATTGTTGGTTCGATATCTTAATGACACATAACTCCTGTAAAAAGCAAGAAACGTATTTAAAAAAAAAGTGCGCTCGTATTTATGAAGAATATAAAAGTCCTGCTCCTCATTCTGGCAAAGTTACCTCAAGAGTTTTAAAAATGTAGTTAATTTTCAGTACACAAGTGTTCAAATTGGGAAATAAAATAAACTCGTATTGCATAAGACTTAAGAGCGTCTACATGCCAAGTTTGGCCGAAGTGAGGTCAGCCGTTTTTGAAGTCGAGGTGTTCATACAGACAAACATGGCATTAACATAAGTACTTTGCACAAACGCAATATACCCTTTGTAGCCTTCGAGTACCGCGTGCATAAATTATTCGGCAATAAGCTTATAGATAGGCCCTGATAGAATTACTAACTGATTGTCATCTCCGAAGTGGACCTACCGTCTATCTGATAAACTATAATAACCAATTCATTTTGTTTTCTAATTGCAGCCTACCACCTCCATCGCCTGCCCATACGCCCACCAAAGGTTTTGATGGCAACTTTAAGCTGGAACCCAATCTCAGTGTCAAGGAATTTGCGCTGACGACGGAGAATGGCAGCGGAGGCAACGGGGATGCGCCCACGCCCATGCCGACGCCCACGGCGCCGCAACGCAAACGCTACAAGAAACGCGTTCAGTTCAACGACACGCTGAACGGGTTCACGGGCAAGGTGAAGGGCGCTCCGGCAGGTGCCGGCTTTGCGGCCAACAGCAGCTATGGCGGCACCAAATCCAAAAAACACGAGGCAAAGGCCGCTGCAGCGGTACTCAAGGCTGGAGCTGCTGCCGCGGCTGCCGCAGCAGCGGCGCGTAACAGCAGCGACACACTGCCAGAGGTGCTCGACTGTCGCATTGCCGAGAAGATCAAGAGCGAGCTGGAGGCCACCAAGGAGGCGCTGCCCAATGCACTGTGCCTCACCAAGCACGAGAGCTACGGCGGCGTGGGCACAACTACGACACCAGGTGGAGCAGCGGGACAGCACAGTGATGATGAATACGATGAGGATGAGCAGCACAGCCGCACATCCAATGCGGGCCCCGTGGTACCCGGAGATGTGGCCGTCGATCCCACGAGCAATCTCAATGGACAGCTGGGCAACTTCCATGTGCGCACGAAAACGAGCAAGAAGTCGCAGGCCAGCAAGGCGGCTCAGGCAGCGGCGGCGGCAGCAGCAGCAGCGGCGGCCGCTGCTGCGGCTATGATGCCACCCAATAGCTATGACGAGCCCGAGGATGAGTCCGGTCTGAATGCGGGCAATGCCAATGCGAATGCGGATGACGACGACGATGACGACGAAGAACTAGACGAGGAGGCGCTGGCGCGCGAAATGAAAATGGAGCAGAACTTTGTGGAGGAGGAGGACGAGCACGATATTGCCTTCCGATCCCATCAGTCGTGCCGCGAATGCTCCATTACCCACGACCATAAGCTCTGTCCGCTGCGCAATGCCTGCGGCAATGTGACGGATGCCGTCGACCTGGCCGAATGGATTGAGCGACGCAACCTGGAGGCGTTGGCCAAACTGAAGGCCGACGCTCAGCGTCAAGCCAAACATGGCCGGCCCAGGCATGATGATGATGAGGACGATATGGAGGACATGGACATGGACGAATCGTCGCAACTGTCCGAGCTCGAGACTAAGCCACTAATCACCTTCGCTGAGGCATCCGTGCCCGCCGAATTCGAGCTCCACAATGTGGAGCCCAATGTGACGGGTGTATTTGCCCGAACCGAGATCCGGGCCTATACGAAGCTGGGACCGCTCGTGGGCCAGCCTGTGCAGACGGGCGAGGTGCGGGAGGGCAGCGACATGAAGTGGATATTCGAGATGTGCGAGGCGGGTGCCGATAAATCCTATTTACTCTGCTGCGACAACCCCAACACGTCCAACTGGCTGAGATACATACGACCAGCCCCCAGCTATGATGAGCGGAACGTAAACCTGGTCTCCATTGGCCGACAAGCGTACTTTGTCAGCTGTCGGGACTTGAAGAATGGCATGGAACTGCTCTACTGGAGTGATGACTGTAATACCATGTGGCGCAAGAAGCATTCGGAAAAGACAAGTGAGTAGAGACTCCTATTACTATACTCTGGAAAGAGTACGAACGAACTAAATCCTTTTTCCTGAGTTTGTTTGTTTTCTTTTTTATCGGCAATATATTTAACTTATTTCCACTCTTTCGCTCCCATAGACTGCGGTGGCTGCAATCTGAAATTCGAACATCCATTATATTATCGCACACACTGCTCTGTCTTCCATGATCCCTCGATGAGCCTCACCATACGAAAGTATCATTGCAAGGTGTGTGGGGAGGCGGTGCTCGGCAAGGATAACATTATGAAGCATGCGGCTGAGAAGCACGATGGCAAGGGCGCCTATCAGTGCCAGTTCTGTAATAAGTTCTTCCTGCGCCTCAACTATCTGGAGATGCATCGCACCTATGGTTGTGCGGCCAATCCCAATAGGGCGCGGCCTTTGTGCGACTTCTGCGGCCGAAAATTCTGTCAGCCGCAGAAGCTAAAGGCACACATTAAACGAATGCACAGTGGTAAGTGGGCCTCGATTGGTAGCCACGTTATGTTTATGTTGCTATAAAGGCTCGTAACAGACATGTATTCACGTAGATACTTATGTCCATCCGTATCGTAAGCGTAAATTAATCTAAAACATGCATACTAACAACTAAACTATAACTAACTAACTAACGATTGCAAAAAATGCAAGACTAGCGGCAAATATCGTAAGCTCGTACTATATATACTACATATATGTATTTATATCGTAAACAACAACATATATCGTGCATATACTATAACCTAAATTGTATATCGTATTCTAAGCTGTGTCGCCAAACTGCTTCTGCATAACAATACACACATACACACACGCACACACACACAAACCTCCCCATTTCCATGCATTTAATTTGATTTAAAACGAACTTTTTTTAGAAGAATGTTGATATCCCCCCCCCCCCCCCCCCCCCCCCCCCCCCCCCCCCCCCCCCCCCCTTCCAAAAGTAGTTTTCGTAAACTAAACCCCCCACAGAAGTGGCGACAAATTGCGGTCAACTGGTTTACGGGCAATTGAAAATAACACACTCAGTTACTTTTTGAGATTACGAGTAGCTGTTGAACATTTTAACAACCCTTTTACAACATTTGCTAACCATTTTAGCACATTTTTTTGGGAATACAGCATGAAAATATGATCTAATTTGGGGCAGGTGACTAGACATGGGGAAGAAAGAAAGTGGCACCGAAGCGCTAATCGCTGGGAAGAGAGGATTGATGGAACCATTTCCCAAAGCAAGCAGTTCTTTCAGAGACAGGAATGGGAAATAACATTTTCATCTTACTTGCAAACATAAATACAGTGAAAACTCCTTTAACGGACACCTCTTTTATCCGAACATTCTCTTCGATGGACACTTTTTTAAAACAAACGATCCGTGTATAAAGTATTTAAGTATCCCCTTAAGTTTTCACTGTAGGAGCTAGCTACTGGTACCGAGGCGCTAATCGCCGGCAATATAGAACTGATGGAACCATTTCCCGAAGCAAGCAGTTCTTTCAAAGCCAGGGATGCGAAGTAACATTTCAAGCTAACTCGCAAACATAAATAGTGGCTAGCTACTGGTACCGAGGACTGATGGAACCATTTCCCAAAGCAAGCAGTTCTTTCAGAGACAGGAATGGGAAATAACATTTTAACCTTACTTGCAAACATAAATACAGTGAAAACTCCTTTAACGGACACCTCTTTTATCCGAACATTCTCTTCGATGGACACTTTTTTTAATACAAACGATCCGTGTATAAAGTATTTAAGTATCCCCTTAAGTTTTCACTGTAGGAGCTAGCTACTGGTACCGAGGCGCTAATCGCCGGGAAGATAGAACTGAAGCAAGCAGTTCTTTCAAAGCCAGGGATCCGAAGTAACATTTCAAGCTAACTCGCAAACATAAATAGTGGCTAGCTACTGGTACCGAGGACTGATGGAACCATTTCCCAAAGCAAGCAGTTCTTTCAGAGACAGGAATGGGAAATAACATTTTAACCTTACTTGCAAACATAAATACAGTGAAAACTCCTTTAACGGACACCTCTTTTATCCGAACATTCTCTTCGATGGACACTTTTTTAAAACAAACGATCCGTGTATAAAGTATTTAAGTATCCCCTTAAGTTTTCACTGTAGGAGCCAGCGCTGATCGCTGGCAAGAGAGGACTGATGGAACCATTTCCCAAAGCAAGCAGTTCTTTCAGAGCCAGGGATGCGAAGCTAACTCGCAGCCAGGGATGCGAAGCTAACTCGCAAACATAAATAGAAGCTAGCTACTGGTATCGAGGCGCTAATCGCTGACAAGAGAGGACAGATGGAACCATTTCCCAAAGCAATCAGGCAATGAACAATTGTTTTTTCAGTTCTTTTCGAGATAGGGATGCGAAAAAAACCATGCATAATTTAATTTTAATTTTAATTTAAATTTCAATCTAACTTTCAAACACACATAGTAGCTAGCTACTGGTACCTCAGATAATCGACTGGTAGTTACTGGTAGACAGCAATTGCACAAAATAGAAAGATAATTGGCATTTTTGTACATTTTCCCATGAACTATTGACATCTAAAGAGAACCTTCTATCTGATTAGGGCGATTGTACAATCCTAGCCCTCTTTAGAAACCCCCTACACATTACTATATATGTATGTATTGTAAATACCTACGACTATATTGTATGTCTGTATATCGTAAGCAGTTATATCATACATCACACACACATAGACACGCTCACTCACACAACAACATAAAGACATCAATATATATATATATATATATATATATATATATATATATATATATATATATATATATATATATATATATATATATATATATATATATATATATATATATATATATATATATATATATATATATATATATACTAATATTGTAAATCGCTTAGTTGTAACTGTAATTACTAATCGCATAAGTGCTCACCAATACACCCGCATCTGCGATCGCTCATCATTGCCTCTTCAGTTGTATGCCCAATTGGTCTAAACATTTTTACGGCCTAAGTTTATTTGCCTTAACTCTATTTATTATTTTCTGTAAACTATGCTAACATCGCACATCATCATCATCATTATAATCATCATTATAATTCGACTCTAGATTCAAGAACTGTTCAAACAAACAATAGAAAATACTTAGATTAGACTAGTCTGTAGTTGTTAAAGACCTCACAAAAGATCTCTTTGAGGTACAATTCCAAATATCTGGTTGGAAGTAAGGAACCTTTTGGAAGACTTAAAGATATTGATTATGATATTCATAAAAATCATTAACCATTAAAAAGCAAGACCTCAACATACTGCTTACGATTGTGGTTATGAAAAGGATTCAAAGCTCAATTTAAACAGCTTAGATAATCAAAACGGATCGGACAATATTTCTGCAACCATTAACTGGTCCAAAACTTGTTATACGGTTTTGAAAGTAAAACCTATTTTGCAGAACTAAGCGCATTTCCCAATTTTATTTATCGAATTCGCAAACACAAACAACCCTTTCTCATTCAAGCATAAGTTTTTTGGGGTTCCCGAAACATTATTTCTGAAAGCAACACTTCTAGATGTTTGCTATGATTTCCATGGAAATTATGAAACGAATTCGATTATATTATTCCACATATGGAATTGGTAATTTGTAACATCAATATCTTACCAATATCTTTCACAGAATTAGGAATAGTTAACCAGAGTAGGCCTGTATTTGTAGCTCATCCTTCTCGCACTAGTTCAGTCATCATCATCACCCATTGAACCGTTCGATCCATCCATAAAGTGTATTATTGTCTAACCGCTTTTAGTGAATGATTTGGCTTGATTTGTCTTTCGTTTGATTATATCCAGTGATTATTAGCATTATGTATTTAAAAAAGAAAGTGTGGTCGGTGCTCTGACCACCAATTTAGTTCGTCCCTAGTGCCTTGTGCCTTATGCGTTTCGCTTTCGTTTTGTGTTTGTTGGTTCGTTGGTTCGTTCGTTGGCTGCTTGGTTGATTCCTTGAGTACTCTATAATTTCTTTCAAAATCACCACAATCCAAAATTTCATTTTCTTCATACAATTTCATTTTAGATATGGCTGAAGTTTTACGAGATTTTCAGTGTAAATTATGTTCAAAACTTCTAGGATCGCGTGCAGCACTGCAGCGTCACTCGAAGGAGGTGCACAGCCGCAACTCGACCGTAGTCAGTTGTCCTCGCTGTCAGAAACTCTTCCAGAACCGCAGCAATCTGAAGATACACATGCTCACGCATTCTGGCGTGCGGCCGTTCAAGTAAGCTTCCCCCGCCCATTTGATTCAATTCCCATCCACAGCCACTAAGCTCCTTTACTCTTTATCGAACGTGCAGGTGTGCGGAACCGGAGTGTAATGCGGCCTTCACCACCAAACAGTGTCTGCAGTTCCATTACAAGAAGGTACACAACTACACCCAGGAGCAGATGCCAAAGATCGAGCGGAGTGTCGCCTACACTTTTGATGCCTACTCTGGCGGCATGAAAGTGGACTTTCTGGGTAAGCCCTGTTCGCCGGCCGCGTCGCGGCTCTCAGCGTCCGGCGCTAACACAGCGCTGCCCTCTTCCACAGAACAAGCACCGCGCCGTCGTCGCAAGAGCCTCGAGGACCAGAACTCAATGCTTAGTTCGAGCATGCAAAGCGACACGGAATACTCTGATGACAATATATTCGAGGCCATCAAGAAGTCGGGCAAGTCTATTAAGGACCTCTGTCGCAACGAACCGAATCTCTCGCTGCTCTCCTCCAAAATCTCCAGCATCTTTGGTGAGAAGGTCGGGCCGGGTGCGGCGCCAGCAACGGGTCCAGCAGCCGGCGGCGGACGCAAGCGCAAACGCAAGAAGGACTCTGTACCAGCCTCGGCAGTGGCGCAGCAACATCAGCAGCAGCAACAACAACAGCATGCGGCCGCGCAACACCAACTCCAGCTGCATCCGCACGATCAAGCACCGCCCCAGCACCACCAAACACCACACCCTCTGCAGCAGCAACAGCAGCAAGCCCAGCACCACCAGGCACCTCACCCACTGCACCAACAGCAACAGCAGGGACAGCATCACCAAAATCCGAATCAGCTGCATCATCAAGCGCATCAGCAACAGCAACAGCAGGGCATCATGCATGAGGACGAGGACGATGAGGAAGTGAGACTGGAGCAGGTGCGGCGCAAGCAGAATGCCCAGCTTAGTCTAGTCGAATCCTTCCTCACCACCACCGCTCAACGTCTGAGTGCCCAGCAGCAGGTGCAGCAAGTGGTAGCCGCTGCTGCTGCCGTCTCCGCCATGGCTGGTGCCGGCGCCGCTGCGAGCGATGAGGCCGGCAAACTGCACATGATGGGCCACATAGGCATGGGCGGTGTGGACGATGAGGATGATGATGATGAGGAGGACGATGATGCCTCCACGGCAGCGCATCACCAACAACAGCAGCAGCAGCACCATCATCCGCACACCCATCCGCACCACCCGCATCCGCATCACGCGCACCATCAGCCCCATCATGTGGCCGCCGCTGCGGCAGCTGCGGTCCAACAACACCACCAGCATCAGGCGGCCCAACAACAGCAGCAACAACACGAGAACAGCGGCTATCGTCATGCGGCCGCCATGAATGCAGCGCTCGGCCAGAATCTGGTGGTCAGCAAGGGCAGCAAGAAGTGGATCGGAGCCGACGATCGCCACTTAAGTGCTCGGGACTGTGGCTCCGTCGAGCGCTGTGGCTTGGGCAATGGGGCTGGAGGAGCAGCCGATGTGGGCGATGCTGTCGGCTCTGGCCCGGGCATGAGCAGCAGCGCTTGCGGCCTAGCCAATGCGTCGGACGGACCAGATCTTGGCTTTGCCGTGCCACCAAGCAGCGTCGACGAGCATAGCAAGCTCTTGGGCCAAAATCGGGACTTCCTGGCGCGTCTCATGAGCAGCGCCAGTGCCAATCATGCACACGCCCATCATCATAGCGCCAATAATCGTGAGGAAGACGAGAATAGCTCCTTCCTGGATGTGGTCGAGTCGAATCAGAATGCGGCGGCGGCTGCAGCGGCGGCCGCCATGTCCCAATACCATCATAATGCGGCCGCTGCGGCTGCCAATGGTGGGTCTAGTGGTGGTGGTGGTGGACACACGCCGACGGGAGCGGGTGGCTTGAGCAGTGTGGGTGGTGGTGGAGCGGGTGGTGGTGCGAGCGAACCACCGCAAATGCAAATGAACTCTCTAACACACTCGCAATCATTCATGAGCTCCTTCTACAACAACGCAAACGCAAGACTGAGTGGCGCCGGCGCTTCCTCCTCGGCCAGCATGCTGGTGGAGGCGGCTCTCAACTCCGTTGGCAATATGATTGACAGCGAGAGCAGCGACCTGAAGGTATGTATTCTTAAGAAATTATATAGTTCTGTTTCCGTTTCCAAATTCGATTGAAAATTCTGTAGAATCAAGAAAAACCTTTTCCTTTCCATTTGCATTCCATATATTTTGGTCGAATTCGGAAACAGAAACAGGCGTATTTTCATAATTTCGAAAGGAACAGATCAGACTGGGTATTCCATAGTTTATACTTTACTATTTTTAAGGCGTCGTTCCAGGCTTGGGGTGTCTAAGCCATTACCAGCGCGAAGTATATTTGAAATATAGTCTGAGCTAGAAAATCTGCTTAAAAATTTAGATCAGAAACAACAAAAATTATGTTTCAATATTAACAGATCAGACTGGGTATTCCATATTTAATACTTTACTATTTTTAAGGCGTCGTTCCAGGCTTGGGGTGCTTAAGCCATCACCAGCGCGAAATATATTTTAAATATAGTCTGAGCTAGAAAATCTGCTTAAAAGTTTAGTTCAGTCAACGTCCGAAACACCGAAAAATTATGTTTCAATATTAATATTTAATATTGTTTTAATCACGAAAAGTTAATGGTTATGATAGGAATTATTAATTACAAATATAACCAGGCTCCAAACTGTGTGGTTCTGCATATCAATTATTTTAGATTACATTTTATATCCCCATCTTTTTGGGTGCCAGTTCAACAATGTTAATCGTAAGCGCCTTGAAGAATCAAACATTTAATAAGCACTTCTTGAAATTCTCATTGCACCTTATCTTCGATAATATATATTGAGACAGAAAGAGACAGCATCAACAAGTTTGTTAGAAGCGGAAAGCGTGGTGTCGGGAAGAGATGTCCGATCTATTGTTTGGAGAAATCCTCTTTGTTACGCTCTTGATATAAATCCGCAAATTTGGATGAATATTTTCCATACATGTTCTAATTTTGTCTCTCAACTTATTAGGTTCCCACCGAGAACAACATTAACACCGACAGTCCCATGAGCGCTCACGTGGACCCAGAGGCGAACCGCTTTGGCGGTGGAGCGACCTCGAATAGCGCCGGCATTGGCGGTATCGATAATCTAGAGAATGAGCTAAAAATGATGAAGAATCTGAGCAGCTTTCCCATGCAAATACCACCGTTGCCCATGTTTCAGGGTGCCTGCAACATCTCGCCGAGCGCCTCGACTCCCACAAATCCGCAGAGCAATCAGAACCAGAACGATGTGGATGTAGATGCGGGCTCGACGCCGAGACCACAGCATATGGGTGGAGGCAGTGCGGCCGACTCTGATGGCTTCTCGTCCACACATCATCGTACACCACCATCGCCTCCACCCATATCGCCAGGCCGTGATTACGGCATGTTTGGCGGCGCTGGAAGTGCGGCAGCGGGCGGTTCCAATGGCACCCCGGGTGGTCCCGGCACTGCAGGCAGCTCCAGTAGTGGCGGTGGAGCGGGCGGTGGCAGCAATAGTGGCGGCAATGGAGGCGGCAGTGCCAATAATATGTCCGCCTCCTCCCCATTACCTGCCCTGCAAGCACAGCGTCGGAACGCATCAAGCGTGGGCAGCACATATCCCGAGCACGAGCTCATCTCACCCGCCTCGTCGCCCTCCATACCGCGCTACAATTTCAACGGCGACATGATGCGGCACAAGAGAGCCGAACAGGAGCAGGAAAGACGACAGAATATTTCGCGACACAATCATCTATCCAGCGATGAAGAGAACAGCATCATGCCACAAAACAGGTAAAAAAAAATACAGCCACCTAACTGTAGACTAAAACAAGTAGAAAGCTAAAGTCGGATGTCCCGACTTTGAAATACCCTTGTACATATGTGTAGAAAAATTGTAGAAATTTTAAAAATTAAGAAAAGGGCGTATAATTAGGCATTTACATGGGAATTGTGTGTATGTGTATGCATGCCCATGCGTGTCTATTCGTGTCTGTGTGAGCATGCATGTAGCACAATGTTGAACGAAAGCAGCAGCAAGAACAACAGCTGCGGGCAGCGCTTGGCCAAATATGATATGTATAGCTGTAACTTCCTGATTAATCGGCCTATCATAATGAAACTTAGTATACGGACATATAATCCCTAACTGGAGATACTTACCAAATTTGAATCAAAAATTCCACGGGAGTTATATATTGCATCTTGGACTCAAATTTGGTGTCCCTAGGGCCCATAGTCTCCGAGCTATAGGTGATTACAAGCGGAAACGAACGGAAAATCGGGAAAATCCCCATAGGGGGGAAAAGAGGGGCGAAAATCGAAAAAATAAATCAAACTCGTATAGCGTATACACATAAGGCATCTTTGTGCAAAATTTGGTGGCTCTACCTCTTATAGTCTCTGAGATCCAGGTGTTCATACAGACAAACGGACGAACAGACGGACAGACTAATAGACAGACAGGGCTAGATCGACTTGTCTTGTCATGCTGATCATGCTGACTCTTGTACATTTCATGTACGGAGTATAATGATATGTATGAGAAAATGTCGATGTCCTTATGAATTGGTATATTTGTATACTCTGCCACTGCTTACTACTTTCGTTTTTATCCACAGTGCCGGCCAGGACATGCGCATGAAGTTCCCGCAGTCGCAAATCGATCTTATGTACTCCAAGTACGAGAGCATGGCCTCAAATCTGAAATACAATAACCAGGAGCTGGACTCTCCGGCCGAATACCGCAACAGCAATAGTAATGCGGCAAGCGCCGCAGCCGCTGCAGCTGCCGCGAGTGCCGCCAACGATATGGCCGATCTCCAGGGCCTGGATATGTCCTCGCGCTCGAATGTGGGCGCTGCCAGCAACTACCACCACAACTTCCAGCTGCCTAGCAGCCGCTACCATCATCACATCTACGACATACTCTCCGACCGCGAACAGAACCAGGCCCAGGCGCAGGCACAGTCCCAACAGCAGCAGCACCATAGCTCCGCTGCCGCTGCGGCGGCCGCCGTTGTGGCGCAGCACACGCATCAGCAGGAGCATAGCAGTCAGCTGGCGATGCAGCAGCATCAGTCGGCGGCCGCGATGCACAACATGCTGAGCGATCAGCTGAGCGAGCAGGAGCACGATCAGACCACCTCGGTGGACCTGAGCCGGACGGCCAACTATGTGGTGTCGTCGCCGCCACAACTGCCGTACAATCATCCGCATCATGATATGCTGAGGATGGCCTCGCTGGATCTGACGCCCAACACGAACATGGCGGTGGGCAACAATCGCTCCTTCTTGTCCTCGCAGATGCAGCACCAGAGCCGTGAGAGTCTGGAGCATCATCGACTGTTGTCCACCGTGGAGCAGCATCGCATATTGGCGGCCTCCAATGCGGCCGACCAGCACCGACTGCTTGTCGATCCCACAGCCCATTTGCTCATGGAGCAGAACAATCGTCTGCTGGGCACAGCAGATCAGTCGCGCCTCTTGGGCGAGTCTGCGGCGGCTGCAGCCCAAAATCGGCACATGGCGCGCAGCTTTGGCGCCTACCATCAGGTCGCCTCAAGTAACTATCATCCGGGCGTCCGACCACCGCCCGTGCTGCCTTCGGCCAATCATCATGCTTCCAATCCATCGAACTACCATCCTTTTCCGGCCTATTACTAAGGAACTGCTCCCCACACATCGTAATGAGTTGTTCATTTAGCTGCAGCCGGAAGCCACAAAACACGCACACATCCATGGAACTCTATCCGTAACCCGCTACCAACTAACACACAGACACGTTAACTAAAGCTATATATGCGTATGTATTTTACTATAACAATGAAATTTTACTATAACTATGTATATCCTAGATATATGATCTAAGAATGTTTTCCTTTCTTTTGTATTTACTATTATTATTATTATTTTTTTTTTTTTTGACTCGCTCACTAGAACAAGGCATGACTGTAAAGCTGATATTGAGAGTTACAGAGCTTAGTTAAGGCCAACAACCTTCAGATGCCCGGGACTCAGTGCAATTGAAATTCCAAGCATTCCTATTACTACTATTAACCACTCATACGCCTCTTAGTTTCGTTGTTCCTTCACAGAGCTAACTTAAGATTCTGAAATCTCGCAGAACTTTCTTGCAACCATTACGAAAAGAGTTCTGATCTGATCCAACATACTTATTCGTATGAGCACTCCTCTGTAGTTCAATTTTAAGCGCAAAAATAGAAACAAGTTTAGGTTCCTCAGTTCTTAAATACTTATGTTCGAAACACAGGCCAGGAAATGCTCTAAAATAAAATAAACTAGAGTTCCAAAAAAGGAACTAAAAATTGTTGAATGGGAACATTTTATTTAGTGTTAATTTATTTTAAGTTTTTATATTAAATGGAATGGAACATTTCGTTCATGCTTTATATAATTTGTTTATTTTATAGAAAAAAAACGACACTTTGCCTCACTGCTTAAAAAAAAATACTTGAAACTGTGGTTCCAAAATCTGAACTAAAAGCTAAAAATTGGAGCTACAAAATATTGAACGAGAAATTTTATTAAAGGTCAGTTTAATTTTTTTAATTGCTTTTATTTTTACAATTTAAGTAAACAACAAAACTATATGCAATTAAATTAAATTATGTATGCTTAAAGAAAAAAGAAACTCACACACAAACACACACAGACACAAATCATAAAATACATATGAATATTCAAAGCCTATTTAAAACATAAATATATGTATGTATGATTACAATTATTGTTTCAATTTCCTTTCGACTAAGCGAACAAAAACCATAAAGTGTGCCAATATGTTTAAGTGTACATTGATTTTTAACAAATTTATATACAACAGTTGGCAAAAACGATTTGATTTTGCAACAATAATTATTACGATATGTATAATTGTATATGTAAACCGAGAGATAAATAAATGATATATACATACAAGTATATATAAATATGTACGAAAATGAAAACTAATTAAAGCCTGAAACGATTATTTTAAACGATTCTGCGCTGAGTTTGTACAGAGAACGAAACATTATTCAAAAAAAAAAAACAAAAACCAAAACCAAACAAAATGAAAACCAATGCATTGCTATTTTTACACCACGAGAATATAATAAAAATGGAAATAATAATAATTAAAATAAAACATAAATAAGTACAAAGCGTTGGGCAGAGGCAGTGAAATAAGTTATAAATAAAATAAAATTAAATTAAATAAAAACCGAACATGTTGGCATGGAAGCGCATAGAAACTAACACACAATATGGCTGTTTCGCTTTCTACTGAGAAGTTATATAGGAATCGTAATCGAAATGCTAAGCCCGCTAAATACCAAATGAGTCCCCAAATACAAGCTCAGCTACAAATGAAGCTAAGTCGAAGCGTTTAAGTAATGTACGAGTATGTAAGTTGTAAAAAATTGAAAGGAAATATGTGAAATGAAATGAGAAATACAATAAATAAAGTATTGGCATTCAAAACGATATGCATAGTGAATAAAAATAATGTCATTTACAACAAAAACAACAAGAACAACAACAACTGAGAACATCTGAGAACCGATCAGGAAATTAGCTCAAAAAATCATGGACATATAGCATAAAATCGCGTTTAATTATAAATGTATAAATATGAACAAGTTTTTTTTTCGTCATAGAAAGCCTTTATAGTTTTTTGTTTTTCGTTTTTTTTTTTTTTTTTGAAGTGAAAATATTTCGGCAAGTCATGTCTAAGAATATATACATATATATATATTATATATTTGCATATAAAAACCATATAATATATAAATATATATGCGTATATATTTATATATATAAATGTACATGTATACTTACACATATAAACACACTTATACAGTTATGAATGATATATATATATATATATATATATATACATATATATATATAGAAAGTAATAAATTAATGCATATAATTTCATGTAAATTACTAAAATTAAATTTATATCAACGCAGAAATTAAACAAACAAAACCGACACCGACGAACATCACAAAAAATATATAAAGAATAAAGAAAAAACTACCAATAATAACGATAAAGTCATAAATAATGAAACGTGGTAAATAACATAACATGACGATCGTACAGATCAGCAGTGAGTACTTGAGATAGCGCTGATAATGATGATATATCCATATGGCGTAATAAAATTATCGATTATCAATAAAATGAAAACGAAAATTATTTGAAAATGAAATGAAAATGCTTTTCATTTAAAAAAGAAAGTAGACACTTAGTTGAGGATTCAGTTTCCGAAACGAACTATATACGTATTATGTTCAGTTTCTTGGGATAATAATAACAGAACCGTCTTAAATTTTAATAATTTTCTTTTAATACTTTTAAATGTGATTTTTCTAAATATGTTTTTAAATATATATATCATACGAACTACTGTTCCATAAGTTCGAGGAGTTTGCTTGTTAAGTTGGAGATTCGTTTCCCTCAAATGATTCAATCTTCTTTCCAAAAAAAAAGCAATCTAAAGTTTTATTCATTAAAGCTTAGTTTCTACGAGGATTGTTATACCCTGTACCCGTAGGGTGAACAGGGTATATTAGGTTTGTGCAAAGTATGTAACATACAGAAGGAAGCATCTCCGACCCCATAAAGTATATATATTCTTGATCAGCATGACGAGAGAAATCGATCTAGACATGTCCGTCCGTCTGTCCGTCCGTCTGTCCGTCTGTCCGTCTGGATGAACGCGAGGATCTCAGAAACTATAAAAGCTAGAATAACCAAAGTTGGCATCCAGATTCTCCTAGGTCCGAGTAAGGACGAGTTTATTTTTTTTTTTTAATTTTCCCCCCCTTCCCCCGCTACAGAATTTATCCAATAGCGTCCACATTTCAAATGCTATCTAAACCAAACTTTGCACACATAATTTATATATAATTGTCTACTGTTGTTCAAAATTTTATTCAATTCGGTCAATTCTAAGAAAAGTTATTAGCAAAACAAATTCTCGCCAGTACAACCCCCACAAACTGCAGCAACAAGTTCGCTCTTCTTCTTCCTCTTTTTGTTGCTGCTATGGGCGCATATAACTCAGTGACGGAAGTTTACCTGGGTACAGGGTATTACACTGTCGGGCTTGCTCGACTGTAGCGTTCTCTCTTGTTTTTAATTTCAATTCTCAAAATATATGAATCTTGCATCTTAAGCAATACTAATGACAAAAAAAATATAAAGGATATATGTACACGTATCATACGAGTAAAGTACATTGTTTCGCAACTTCTTCTGACACTAGGTCAGAAAAATGCTTTTTAAATTTTCAGCTACTCCAAATTAAAAAAAAAAACAAGTGGTGAGTGGAAAATTAACGACAACTTGTTCGAATTCTGAGAGCAATGTCCGAGTTACCAACTGTCTTAAAAAAGTCCAACGATACTCATTTTGAGTCTAAAATTTGACAAACCACTTGTAAAGCTAATTAAGTTTAGAAAGAATTCAAGGTAAAATTAATGCTCGAAACAGAAAACAAAATATAATTCCAGTCCATTATCAGTTTGTCCAACAGTAATAAAAATGGTTTGGAAAATAAAGTTCGTTAAATTTTGTTGAATTTGTTTTGCGAAAACAAAACAACAATCGAGTAATCACCACCCTTAATCTGAGTTGATAAGTGCGGCTATTTATAGGCCCTTTCGAAGAAGAGCTTATCTAAAAAGATTTCATTTGAAGGCTCCAATGGTAATTTGGTAAATATCTGGATGTAAACAATAAAACTTGCCACTTGAAAAATAGACGAAAAGAAGGCGTAACTCGGAAAAATGAAATGTTGCCAAATTATTTTTATACTAGAATGATATTTTGGAGGATCAAGTTACAGAATTTAGCTTGAGAAGCCATTTCACATACCCTTTGTCGTAGTAGGAACGTAGTAGTGGATAATCAGAAAAGTAACGCTACAAAGATTTGTTATACTGAATGTACGAATACTACTTAATCATCTATAAACAAGCAACATTTTAGTTAACCAGATAAATGAACGCCTACATGAGAGAATAATACTAATGGGATCTAAATTTATATTGAGTCAAGCAAGTATCATTCCCAAACAATTGTTTTCAAAGTTGGCAGATCCTTTTAATGGTCGAACATATGTAACACACAGATTAGCATGACAAGAGTCGAATCGTACTATTCCCCTATTTGTCTGTATGAACGCAATTATCTCCAAACGATCAGATCTAAACATTTTAAGTGCAGGAAGGGGTGAGGATATGTTTTTCCCCCACTACAGTTCTTGAAATTTCAATTCGACAAAATTAAATTAATTTCTGACCCGTTATCAGATATCATATATCGATTATCGCTATCGGTTATCGAACAACAACTAATTAGCAACCACCAATATACACTAACAACCACCAACAGCCATTCTGTTTTGGTTTAGACAAATTGGTTGAAAATGATAATCTTCAGAAAATTATATTTGAAGCGCTCTAACCACTTTATGAGTCGGGGCGGCACTCTATTTTTGGTATTTGTGAGAAGTGATAAGCCAACAAATCTAATGGCGATTCCCCAGGGGGTCGTGGGCGTGGCACTAACCGTTATCAATTAGAAACTGTGCAGGGGACCTTGTTTATTATTTTATTTATAGCAGCCTTGTGATTTGTTTCATACACTTTTGTTGTTGTTGCGAAAAATGCTCAGCTATTTAGATTTGGAACCCCAAGGAAACGGCCAAAGCATTCAACAACTTGCCCAACAACAACAGCAGCAGCAGCAACGACAGCGACAGCGACGGCAGCAGAAGCAACGAACAGTAGCAGCAGCAGCGGCAAGCGATTGCAACGTTTGATAAGCGAGAGAGTTACAGAGAACGAGAGCGCGGGCGATAATGACGCAATAATCGTGCGAATGAATGAAATTTGCCGAGTAATCTACTAGAGAGGGAGAGCCAGAGCAAGAGCGAGAGTGAGAGTGTCATGTCATCAAAGAATATTGAGAGCGCGAGTACGACAAGTGAGAGCGGCAGCATTGAGGGGCCAATGCGCAAATTGGGCGCCAGCAGAACTGCTAATGATGGGGGCGAAGTGGGGGCGGAGGCGGAGGCGCCCGTTATTGGCTCCAGTAAAGTGGGGAGCAGCATACTGATAATGACCCCAGAGCAGATACTGGAGGCATATGAGCGGGCCATTGAAGAGGCGCAGCGACGTCGCGACTCTGAATCTAACGAAGACGACGATGATTCGGAGCTCGAAGACGACGGCAGCAGCAGCGGCGGCGTCGGCGGCGTTATCGGGCGTCGACGGACCCTCAACATCGCCACGTTCAGTTTGTTGACAGCTTTCGAGCGTCTCTGTGCCGGCCTGCTGTTCGTGATTGGGAAACTGTTAAGATTCATACGCCGCTTAGACATGCATGGAGGCGGCACGGGAAACAACATAAACTTTGTCGAGGGTCTGATCGACTTTTTTGCTGGCTCAGTGGGTGAGTAAAGAGTGGCAGGGAGGGGGGTAGCCCATCTCTATCTGAATTCAATTCTCCCGCCGTTCTGCAGGTGGCGCCGCACAGGTCTATGTCTCCCAGCCACTGGACACTGTTAAGGTGAAGCTACAAACCTTTCCCGATGTCTACAAAGGCATGTTCGACTGTTTTGTGAAGACGTATCGCAAGGATGGCATCTTTCGAGGTCTCTACGCCGGTTCTGTGCCCGCTGTCTTTGCCAATGTGGCCGAAAATTCTGTGCTCTTTGCCGCCTATGGTGGCTGCCAAAAGTTTGTCACATTTCTGATTGGCAAAGAGAAGGCCGCAGATCTCACCACTTGGGAGAATGCATGCGCCGGCTCCCTGGCCGCCTGTTTCTCCACCCTCACCCTCTGCCCCACGGAGCTCATCAAATGCAAGCTGCAGGCGTTGCGCGAAATGCAACAATTTGTGGAGCCGGGTATGCATAATTTGCATACACCCTGGACGCTAACCCAATACATTTGGCGGACAGAAGGTGAGCAGAGGGGGTTAATCTATAAGCATATATATGTACATACATATATACGAGTGTGTGAGGGGGTGGACTTTAGGCGCTAATTCAGCATTTCGACGAGCACGATAAGATTTTATGAGCGCTTTTTTGTTATTTATACATATGTACATACAGATGTACATATGTATGTATGTATAAAGCTAAGCACGTTTTTTTTTTCATGTGTGTTTTTGGCAAGCTTTATTTGGCGCTGCCAGATCTATTGTTTTTTTTTTTTTAATTTAAAAAGTGCCCCTAGCTCGTGTATAAGATTCGTTTTTTATTTGGCGTATCAGTTGTGTTTGCTTATTTGTTTTAATCACATTTTAAGATATGCATACATATGTATATACATATGCTTGTATGTATACACAGTGAAGAGCTATTCCGGAGCTGCATATTCAATTCTTAAGAAAATCGAATATTGAACAGCAACAGCATTGTTTTCAAATCTAAAGAATGTTACCAATTCCTGTTTAAAATTTGTTTGTAATTTTTGCTTATTTGTTCCAAACACATTTTGAGATATGCCTACATACATACATATATACAGAGTGAAGAGCTGTTCAGGAATACCCCAAAAATTGCGGTCAAAACAAAAATAACAGCTTAGAAGAAATCAAAACCACTGCTAGCTGTTTTGTTAATTTTTTTTTTATATTTTATTAAATCTCTTTATTGTTTATTTAAAATCTGTCCTTATTTGGACCTTGAGACTTTGATTATGCCTCTGCAATGATGTTTACGGGGATTCCATCAGAATCATTTAATTTAAATTATAAATAATGGCTCAGATAGTTTTTTATTTTGGCAGTATTTTTTTCTGAGACGCATAGGATTTTGTCTATTAAATTTTTTGTAAAAGGAAAATAAATTGTAAGCTTGTCAGAATCATTGAATTTAAATTATAAATAATGGCTCAGATAGTTTTTTATTTTCGCAGTTTTTTTCTGAGACGCATAGTGTCTTCTCCATTACATTTTTTGGGGAAGGAAAATAAATTGTAAGCTCTATGGGAAAATTTCATTACATTTGTCGTGGTGAAGAGAAAACACAGCCGAGTCATCATGATTGGGCAGAACTGGTCACCATATCACCATATTCGTATAATTTCCAACAGACTTGGGAAACTTTTCGATCTCTTTCCAATCGTGGGTTGTCTTTAAATGTTGCATAAAAATCGGCGAATAAGCAAAAACAATACCAGAGGGTTAGGTTATCAGTCAAGTGGAAATTTACTGAACATTTATTTTCATTGATAAAATGCCTCGACATTATACATACTTGTACATATAGCAACAGGCATAGATGAAAGTGGAAAAATGTAGAAACATTTAAGCATACAACAGCATAATGTACGCATAAACACGCTTATGTATAGGCATATGTAATTGTGGCACTCAAGTGCGACTGTGCTTCCCGCTTATCAGCCGTATCAGGCGTATAGTAAGCTGGGGACGCTCTAAAAATAAACGGCTGCAGCATCGGCCTCACGTGCCGTCAACAGTCAGTCCAAATGACTGTCGACTGTCGCTGTTATTTTCCACGCACTTGACATCTGATTACGCGCTGACGATTATTGACTCTATACTTGTATACAAATGTCTCTCCTCTGGTTGTAGGCATACGCGGCTTCTATCGCGGACTCACATCGACATTCATGCGTGAAATGCCCGGCTATTTCTTCTTCTTCGGCAGCTACGAGGGCACACGCGAGCTGCTGCGCAAGTGAGTATCTGAAGATGAAAACGGATGGTTGGCTGCTAATCTCTGCCTTATTTTTTTCTACATTTGCAGACAAAATCAGTCCAAGGACGAGATTGGCGCCGTACGCACCATGTTGGCGGGCGCCGTTGGCGGCGTCTGCCTCTGGACATCCACATTTCCCGCCGATGTTATCAAGAGTCGCATACAGGTGAAGAACCTTAATGCGAGCATGCTGAGTGTGGGCGCGGATATTGTGAGACGTGAGGGCTTCGCGGCGCTCTATCGCGGATTGTTGCCTTCGATCCTGCGCACCATACCGGCCACAGCGACGCTCTTTGTGGTGTACGAATACACAAAGAAGGCGCTACTGGGAACTCTGTGACCGGGGGGAGTACTGCAGCCATGGGCGGGAGCGTGAACAGTTGCGTAATTGGAGGAGGCTGTGCTGTCTGTTGTCTGGTTGCGTGGATCGCAATCGCAGTTGATGCTGCCGTTTTCATTTTCATATTCGTTGTTTCTTCTCTTTCTTTTTTTTTCTTCTGTTTTCGTACATGTAAAGCTACATTATTTTAGTTATTGCTTGTTATTCGCGTTTTCCTGTCCATTCGCTGTCTCTGTCTGCTCTTCCTTGTCGCACACACACACCAGTGCTGATGCCGGTGCTGGTGCTGGCCTGTCTGGGCAGTTGCTTAGTTCTCTAAATGCCGGCCGCCGCTGAGAGGCGGCGCTTAAGGAAGTCCTGGCGGTCCAATGTGGTTTCCAGCTCGCGCCATTCATGCCAGTAGATCTGATATTGAAAAGAGATAGCACATAAGATTCGCTTAAACACATGTACATAAAACATACAAACACATATATAGATTCATACTAGGTGTGTTACTATTAGGTGTGTATTATTTTGCAGTGTTTTATGAAGAGGAGTTTAGTAATTTATGTATTCGAGTATATATATGCCAATGAATAGTTTTATGAGTCTAGCCATAATGTCTAGCAAATGTAAATACTGAACCTTTTTTTTAATACAAACACCTTTTTTATAAAAACTCGCTGCAGTATTTTCTAATTCAAAGTTTTAAGGATGATTGGAGATAGGAAAATATGTTAATGTTCCCATACGGAAACTAAGTTAGAAACTAAAGTTGTGACCAGAAGCTAGAGTTTCAATTTAGTTTGAAAGTCGTATAATTCAAACATTAGTCGAGATTTGGATAATGTCCGATTCGAAAATGGGAACAATTGGAAACAAAATAGATCTATTTCAAGCCAAAATATATGTGATTGGAAATCGTAAAGTATTATGAGGCAATGGTACAAGGAATTCTATTTTTGAGCCCATTTTGTAAGTGCAACAAAAACTCGTCTAATTATTGTTAAAAACTACTTCAGCGTATTTCGACTTATACTCATACTATGTAAATATATCTATACATGATTGCTTCGATAAAACGGTCACGCGAAATTATTTGAGTAAACGAATTCCACATTACTGATAAAAAGTAAAATTATAAAATGTTTCGCGAATAAGTTAGACAAAAGACAAAACGGCCTTGTAATAGTTCGCAGTATGGAATCGTAATCCAACGATTTTTTATATCTAGATCACTGGATCTTAAAACGCCGTTCAATATGTTTTTGCAGAGAACCTATTCTACGATAGATGATTTTTGGAGCAACTAGACATAAAATAAATATATGTACTAGTTGGGGAACAAAAGAATTATTAGTAGTACGAAACATTAGTGGATCTTGTAAGCCCTTTTTGAGGTCAAACCAGGTGACCGATTCTAATAATTATTCTATATTATACCTATAACAATGGACAGCGATCATTTCTTTTATGAATGCAACGGAACTAAATCTGGGCTATGGAATTTAGCTTTATATGATCTTAATTTCGATTCATTCGATAGATAACACTCACCACAACTGGCTTGTGGCCCAGCTGTCGCAGCTGCTGGAGCTTCATCGCAAACTGGCCAGTGTGTCGCTGCTTATCGCGTATGATATTGTTCCATCCAGCGATTACAATGACCACCGTGTGGATGTGGGGAGCTTCGGCGGCGCCTAGGAGATGGCTGCGAGTTAGAATGGTGCCGCAATAGTCCGCCGGACAGTCTGGACTCAAGGGAATGGCACGATGCTGTTTACTATCGTAGCATATGACCAGATCGCAGCGCTCGTAGTGGGGCAGCACGTGCTTGAATCTCTGCTCCCGAAACAGCGTGGACGCACTCTCGCGTATCTCTACTAGAATGCGATCCGTGCTGTTCAGCTTGTAGCGACTGTTCCGCTCGGGTATGTATTGCGTGTACAGCTTTCCCATGTTCTGGCGCTGCTTCTCTGTGAGGCGCGGGCCCGTGTAGGCCTCGCCTAGTAGCTGAATAAACGCATCCAAATGGAAGTATTCGCGGCCTGGTAATGCACTGCGATAGGCGTGTCGCACAAAGCGTGGTTCCAAGGCCACAGCCAGCAGCTCAGCGTCGTGGATGCAACGCAGCGTCAGGAACTGCAGGCAGTTGGTGTAGCAGCGCGGATGGCGCAGAATCTCGGTGGTGCGTTCGCGCAGCAGCTCAGGAAGACGCTCGCATACGCGCTGTTCCAAGCCCGATTCGCTATGCATGTTAAATAAGGCCACAACCAAGCAGATGCGCTCCAAATCCTTGAGGCGAGCAGCGGGCAGCTCGCGCTCAAAGCGTTCCAAAATACGCTCGATCAGCGCATCATCGCAAGTCTGCAAATCGCTGCCCAGCAGTGCCATATGCAGGCAGGCCAGCAGTGAGACGCGCTCCACTTGTGGTCGCAGCGCCTCCAGCAGACGTTGCATGGACGCCACTTGGGGCAGCTTGCTGCTGTAACGTAGCACTTTGAGAAGAGCCACCAGCGTTATGTTCTCGACGTTGGGCAATTCGGCCTCTAAACGCGTATACAGCTCCGCCAATAGCTCCGGATTTCGGATGGGCGTCTGTGTCTTAAAGAAGCCCATGGACATTACGCCCAACTCCTGCAGCGTCATCTGCTGGACACAGCGGGCCAGATTCACCTCAAAGTCAAACATCTCGAAGACAGGTCGTCGTAGCACATTGCACAGGAACATTGACTGCACTAGCTGCTCTGGCGACATCTTGCGCACCTTCCGTCCCAGCTTGCGCATCGCCTGCCACACGAATTCCCCGATGCGCGCCAGTCCCAACTGATACCAGGCGTCGCAGACGAGCAACAGCTGGCTGGTGGACCAGCGCTCAATGCGACGGCAGCATTCGATATCCAGTGTGTTCCACAGCTCCATGTAGTTGGGCGACTTCGTCGACGAGGGCGTGGGCAGTTGTGGCAGCCGACGCAGAGTCTCGAGCAGCTGCTCGTCGCTGAGTCGGTGCAGATTATCACAGTAGCTTTGGGTGAAGGAAGCGAAGCGGGCATCGCTGATGGGTGTCTGTGTGACCGCACAGTGCTGGACCAGAGTCTCGAAGTCTGCGTTCAACTCGTCCGGCGTCACAACTGCCGCCGGTTGCAGCACACGCTCCGGAGCCAATGTCGTGGCATTTGCTGCTGAAGTTGGTGTACAACTAACGCTGCTACGTAGGATTTGATAGGGTTTTATGGAGTTGGCTAATATGCCATGAGCAAATTGATTCTCGTGGTCCACAAATGTTTTTGCCGGTAGCGCGGCTGAAATGCGAAAGTGGCGGCAAACAATCGGAACACGTTGCGCAACACTCAACCATCGATTCATCCACATTGCACACTGGCTGCTTAATTCATGCAATCTAAATTGCTGCCTTCTTCAGCCACAATTTCGCCTATTTTGGTGCTACTGTTATAAAATAACGCAACAAACAACAACTACAATAGAGCGAGCTCAGCTGTTTACAATGCTCACCGGTCGCGCGTTGCCAGACATGCGACAATCCCAATGTGGCAAATGGTATTTACAATCGATATCATGCACACATTCCGATAGCAACACGCATAAGTGGCAACAATCGAGTGCGAAACGCGAAAAAGATTTCCATGCAAAGCTTTAAAAACTTTTCATAAAAATCGAGCTAAAATTGTATCTAAGGAAACTAAATAAAAAGATAAAAAATCGTCTGCATAGGGTAAATAATAGCGCAAGTCTGCAACGCTTTCTGGACTCAGACAGCACCAACAGGTAAATTGGCCACCAGGCACCAAGTAACACACTGCCACAAAACGAGCTTCGAAATCTCCATAGTAGTTTGTAGCGTCTACACAAAACGCGCGACTTAACCGGGTTGGCTGTGGACCACGAGCACTCCCGCAAAGGTTAATAATTTCTTGAAATAGCATGGACGAGCTAACGGAGCCGGAAATTGTAGAAATTGATGATGTTGATCCGTTTGAAAGAATCGAACTACCTGGAAATGAAAATGGGAATGAAAAGAGAAAATCCCTTAAAACAAACGCAATTCTACAGCCTGAAAGCATTGTCATCGACCTGGACGATGAAGAGCCGGATATATTGCCAAGCATGGGCGCGGCTGTTGCTGCCACCCCCACTGCCTCTGTTGCGACCAGCTCCAGAAAAATGCCGAATCCACACGAATTCGAAAAATATCAGATGCAGCAAAAGTTAATCGCCATGGTGCGCAGACAGCCGGCACTCTACAACAAAAGGCACAAAAGGTTTCACGATGACACCTTCAACGACCGTATTTGGCAGCGTATTGCCAAAACGTTGTCAATGGACGTCACCACATGTCTTAGTACGTGGGCGGAGCTGCGCTTCAAGTACCAACGTCATGTGAGACAGTTGTGGCAGTTGCAGCTGCTGGGACCACGGACGCAGCATGCCCAGCGTGCTCGACGTCCACGTCCCACCATGCTGCTTGAGGAGGATTTAATGTTTCTGTACCCGCACGTGAGCCGCTTTAAGCCGCGAAGCGATCCCAAACGCGATGGTATCGAAATTACTGATACGGCGCCTAAAGTTCCCCCCACTGAAGCGGCTGTTGATGTCATCGATCTGGATACCTTGGATGCCGACGAGCAGTATTACAAACTTTCGGACGATCTGATTCGCTTGGTGGAATGCGTGCGCTACTATCCACAGCTATACGATCCGCTACATATAAACTACAAGAACTATCGGCATCAAGGACTCATCTGGGGCTCCATTTCTAACGAAATGAAAGACAAGGCGACCAAGCTGATGAAGTCTTGGTTGCAGCTGCAGACGCGCTACGAATGGGAACTAATGCAAAAACCCGGCAACACGCCGCTGCAGAAGCATTTAGAATTTCTGGCGCCGCACATCAACGGCACGTAAGTGCTGGTCTATAGTTTCTGTTTAGAATTCTATAGATAACAAATGGTCTTATTCCTTTTTTTCAGTGCTGGCACCGTCTACAAAATGTCAGCGTATCTGCGAGCAAACTGGCACGATCCCATCGAACACTTCCGCACGGTCATGAATCTTATCAATGGACTCAAGACGCAATCGGATGTGTGTCAACTGACCGATGAACTCGCGAATGTGAAGGACAAGTCGCGGCGATATCATGACATTTGGTGGCGCATGGGTATCCTTGTTAACTGCTCGGCAGCGCGTTGTGAGGTAACTTGGCTGGTGATGCGACAATTTTACTTTCAACTGGCGGAGATGCGCAAGGCCGGCTACCAACTGCAGGATAAATGGTTCTTTGAGAATATCATTGGAAGTCTATACAAGACGGTGGCACCAACAAGCGCCAACAAGCGATCGAACAAAATTCATCAGCCAGATCCAGAAATCAGTCAGACAGTGCCGGTTTCAAAACCTGCTAGTCCGCCACGATTACCGCTGGCAATAGTGTATCCGCCTGCAGTGAAGCCAACGATTGAGCCAACGCCAATGCCAATCTCAGCACCTCTCCCAGCCCCAACCGTAATCGCCGCACCAACCATACCCACATCTTCACCCACGTCTTCAACCATTCAACCCGCTCCGAGCACCAGCAATAGCCCAGCCGGCGGATTTACCATACCACGCATAACAGCGGCCATAAGCATGGTGCCACCACCTTTGACTGGCAAAAGTGGCAAAAGCAACATGGCGCCGACGTCGACGACTTTGCCGAAGCCATTGACTGTACAATTGTCGCCCAAGCCTTTGCCTGTCAACCAAAGTTTGCCGCCCATACCGGCAACTATACAACTGGCAAGCACAGTGCCCCCCGCGCTGCAAGTACGTCCCCAGAGGCCTATGGTGCAGTTGACATTAATGCCAAAACCGCGCTTGCTCAATTCCGTACCTTCAATATCGCCGTCCGCTACCAGTGGCGCCATCATTCGTGCCGTCAACCCTGGTAGCTTGACGCCCCTTGGCGTTACAAAGCTGGGCACGCCACTTGGTGCCAACACACTGCCTGCCTATTCATCACCACCTGTGCCCAAGTTGGTGCCATTGTCGTCTAGGTTGGAGCCAAAGACTGGTATTAACAGCACTGCCACGGTGCTGTCGTCTCCACCGCCGCTTTTGGTGCCGCCGGCGAATCCGATGTTGTCGATCCCATCCTTCGGTCTAAACGTGCCACCACCCACCACATGCTCGCCGTCTATTACAACGAAAGCGACAAGTTCCACTTCCTCCAAACCACAAACTGGTTTGCCCGCTTCCCGCCCTACTCCCAATATTATTACGATTCCCAAAACGTCTATTACATCCTCCAGCAGTAACTATGCAATGCCGGCCAATCGTAATACCAGCAAAACGCCGCACGAGTCCAGCAAAAGCATCACCAGCTCCACCACAAACTCTTCCACCTCGGCCACTCCCATCATTGAACCTTCCGAAGTCACTGTGGAGCTGCTGACAAACGGTTTGCCGGCAAGTGTTATATCCATCAGTGGGCCCACATTAACGAATTCCTTCAGTCTTACAATGTCTCGCACAGCGGTGTTTATACGCGAGATTATGAGCATACCGTATGTACATTGCAAAGATCCAGATATGGAGGGCAAGAGCGTCGAGTATTGGCATATGATATCCAAGAAGTTTCACATGCCGGGTAATTAAAATACTAAGCCTTTGTGAGCCTGCAGCTGTTTTCATGCCCTCTCCTCTCCCCACTATCTTTAGAGTTCGTGTGTCGCGCCTGTTGGAATTTTCTGGCCAACAACATTACCTATTTCCCGAAAATTGCGCCCATGTCAGATCTAATGCGTACCTACAAGAATCATGTCAAGGCATGGGAAAAGTCACATCGCCTGTTTAGCAAATTTGACGAAATCGCCCGAAAATATCAATGGATGAACTACAAGGATCAGCTACCGCAGCTAATCGAGCACTTTGGAAAATATGAACATTTGTATTGGGAGCTACGCAAACCACGGCCCGGTGAGCCTTTAAAGGTCCAACGCAATTTCGACGAGAAGGAGCGTCTTGAAGTGTGGCAATTGGCACGCGAACGTTTTCCTGACAGTAAGTTGCAGAAAATCCTTTTTTTTTCACCAAATCAGTTTATCTGTTCGACTGTATGAGCATCGATAACTTTTAAAGTATAACAGCTAGATACATACAACTTGGCATTTAGATTTTTCATATCTATGCACAGACCAAGTTTATTTTAAACCGTATGCAATGCAAATTTTTTATATAGATGCCATAGGATTTTAAAAATAGTCTTTAATCTAAAAAGCTTTTCTGAGAGTTTGAATTAAGAATCAAACTCAAATTGATTAGTTTGGTCATATAACATACTTAGAATCCTTTTCCTAATAGTCTATAGCACTGATTTTTCTTGTTTTTCCGCGCAGTGAACCATCGGGATATTTGGTCGATGTTTAAGTTCGCTTTCAAAACCTATCTGGAAGATCTTGAACGAGGCGTTGAAAATCCTTGGCCGCAAAATTGGTGGCGTGCCCTGGAGAAGCTGAAATTTCTGATGTATGTACGCTACCATCCGCTGGAGCCGTACTATTATATTGTGCACCAAAAATTCAATGAGGAGGTGACACGCTGTCAGTTGTATGAAACGCTAATGAGCTCTAAGTCGGAAAGTGTCACCCACAAGGGCTCGCAAATAACCATGATCTTACCGTGGGAAGCGGACGAGGCGAAGCGGATGTTAACGGGCAAGCTTTCAGTGCAATCGTATAAGGCGCTGAGAAAAAACGCCAAGGAGCAGTTCACGGCACAGATCACGCATAATCCGGAGCTTCCGAAAAAATCTCAAGGCATTTTGCAGCCAGTTGTTCCATCTAAGCCGCGTCATGAGGGCTCTTTTATTCAACTAAATAATGTAGTATCTAATGAGAGGGACAGCGAGGTGGAGTCTGAGTTAAATGAGGCCTTAAACCCTATGGTCGTCGGCAAATCGGAAATACCCAATGATTCTCTACCATCAATAAATACCTTTGAGCTGACGCGAGTGATGCGTCGCTTTCCCGATACATATGACAAGGCGAGCACAGTAGAGAAACGACAAGCGTGGTTGCTTGTCTCCGGAGAGTTGCAAGCATCAGGTATGTGTCACAATAATATGCCTCTTCCACATTCCTAAAGCAAGTTTTTTTTGTTTCCGCTTCAGTGACCGAGTGTCGTTTGAGTCTGCAGCACGCCCTACGCGAGTTCCGCATCCTCAAGATCAGAGATCCGGCGAATCGCTGTCGACTGAGCCAAAAGTATTATTCCCACATGGCGGACATTTATCGGCAGGTGAAGCCGCGTGGCAAACTGCTGGTGCGCACACCTCAGGATCTGAATCAGAGCCTAATTGAGCCCTCCGAAACGGTCTTTCCGGAACGTTTTGTCCCCGAGATCAATACAATCACGTGCAAGCCACGCCTGGTGGTCAAAAATTGGGCCTATGCCGTCGCCAATATGACTCTGTTGGCGCAGGACGAGTTGCAGCTAACACTTACCAAAATTTTCGACAGATATGCGGCGGAAGCGAGCATCGAACCGGCAACAACAACGGGCATACTGCTCGGAAAACGCACCAATGGCGCTCTGGCCAATCTGTTCGGAGAACAGTCACCTGGGAACGAGAATGCAACTGGGGGAGATGTGAATATCAATGCTGAAAATATTGCCAAGCGGCCCAAATTCGAGCTAGAAGCGTGAGAAACGCGCTCCCAAATACTGTATATTACAAATCACACTGTATTTATAAACAATTACATGTAGTTAGTGCACATCAGCTAAAAATTCACGTATCCATCGTTTCTGTTCCCTACCAATTAACACTAAATTGCATCTGTATAGGGTGCGTGTACTCTATTGACTGCAGTTTAAATTTCCATTGATGCATCTAACTACGCCTGAACACCACATCGCTTTCATCTCTTAGCCAGTGTATTTAAGCTCCTCTGTTTTATGTTAAAGTAAGTATATCGTAAGAGTTCTTTCCCACATCCCCACACACTCACACACCTGCAATCATTCTTTTTTTTTACTTTTATGATTATTCTAACATACATATAGAATACATTTATCTTAAGAACAACTGTTGAAAGGCGTGAATGAAAATATACGGTATAAAGTGCCGGAGCAAAGACTCTACGATGTACTTATGTCCATATCGTAATCCAAAGTTAGCCCCTGCATAAAAAGTTTTAACCGACTACAGTCGATTGAATATGGAACTCAAGCAACACCAACCGTTTCACCCCGAATGTAGTGGTCAAAAATCCTGCAACTAAATTATGAAGGATTGGGTAAGACTTATTGTAAAAACTACCATGTGGTTACATATTTTTAACTTATTTTGTAAGTTTTAATGATTGAAGAGTTCATAAGGAAACAGACTATCACTTTAAAAAGCACATCTTAAGTGCTATGTGATGATAAAGTTATTCTGAAAGGTCGTAGTCGAAGGGTTCTCCTCTGAGGAGAATAAGTCAGCAATATAGCTACCAGAATCAGATATATGAACTGTTAAAGGGGCTGATCTGTAGGTGGTCCGATCTGTTCTTTATTACAATAATATTCACGAGAATCTCTGGAATTAAAAACCAAAACTTTCCATCTTCAAACATGAGGATAGTGTTATATATAACAAATGTCCGTAGCAGCAAAATATATTTTAGCATCGAACCTTTTTTTTTTTTTTTTGTTTCAACTGAAATCTGAAAAGTTTGTGCGCAAATTATCTGCCATCATTTCCCTCTACTTGTGTTGATTCAAATAGCAAGGAAGCTGTGAAATCTTGTCTTTTTGCAACTTTGTTGAAACATCGAATCTAAGTTGATGTAAAAATCGAATATTTAATTATTAAATTAAATTAATTACTTTTAGAGGTAAATACATTTATTGTCACATAAATATACGCTTGGGGACGTCATGAGACATCATAATAAGTATGTGGGACATTTTTGGGTACTTATTTTCATTTTTCTTTCACCCACTCTTCTCTTAATTCTTTCATCGACTTGAATCCATTATTTCTGATAAGTGGTCTGTTAACTTGTTTATAAATGAATTATTTTTGTTCGCAAAAAGCGAAAAAGCCATACAAGAAAAATAAGAAATAAAAGTAATGCTAAAGAGAAGAAAAGTATTTTCCCTGTTTCTGTCTCTGGAAACACTGCTATATCGATGAAATATACAATAAAAGAACTATTTTAATATATGGCTTCAGCCCGAACTACGAGCGAGTACGTCGGGAAAACAAAACAAATATTTTAATTCTTGATTCAAAGAGATTTTTCCAGTTTTTAGGGCGCAATCTTTCTAAAAATCTGTTTGTTTCGTTTTAAAACTAGAAACTGTCTTTCTTGAGATTAGAAAACCAGATTAAAGGTTAAAAACATGTAAAAAGAACCATCTTCTACCCTATAAGGTATATATATATATATTCCTAATCAAATCGACGTGTCCGTCTGTATGAACGCTTTAATTTCAGAATCGGCTGAGTCCACATTAACCAAACTTGGTAGCTTCTTGGGAAATACAAGTTTATTATAGTTATTGTCAGACAGCTCTACGGATTGATAAAGATGCCAGACTTAGAAGCAAAAGTCTGTTAGGGTAGGTATCCCAGGTTCATCTATGAACAACAAAAAAAGGTAATTTCTTTTAAACCTGCTCAGAATACTACCTATTGTTGTTTCTAGAATCTGTTATGCAAACCCTAAGATATTTTGAAAACAAGAGTTATAAGTAGTATACATATGTTTATAGTACATACGGTTAGATGACTTGTCCTACTTAGACATAAAACTGAAACTGTTTCGGTCTCAATCGTTCTGAGAAGCTTTACGGCTTAAATCAGCCAAACCCAAGCCAAGCTAACCACCACTGCTCGCCACTTCCCCAGACACCGTCCATCCACACACATGTCACATGTTCATGGATTTGTTATGATGAGCCAATTGTTGAGCGCCAATTTGTTTGGGCTTACTTTGATGTGGTTGTGTTCTGGCCTCTGGCTGGCCATGCAATAAAATACGGGGGGTGGTGGTGGTCGCCAACAACACTTGACTGACCAACCGACCACCCAACGAGACATAATCAAAGAGCATAAGGCAACAACAACAATAATCATAATAATGCAGAGCATTACAGCGTGATGAGAAAAATAGTGGCACTTTAATGAGAAAACATCTAAATCGTTGGATTATACTGAGCGCATCATAATATGCGTCTCGAGGATGACGGTGAGAGCGGTTGCTAGTACTGGTGCTAAGTTATAGCAAGTCTGATACCTTTAAGCCCCTGTGCAAAGGAAATCAAATAATGTTACCACGTAATTGTATTCCACTACATACGCTGCCAAATAATACTAGAAAGACTTTGAAATGTAGGCAAGAGGTACTAGTAGGAACCTAGCTTAAGGCAGGCCGAGGCCAGTTGATTTGGAAAGGATCGCCTGGCCTTGTGTCCGTCTGTATGAACACCGACCACTTTTGTGTCATATGAACTAGAGAAACCAAACTTGGTATGTAAACGTGTCCTTTCAGTTTGTAGCTTGGTACCGTCACTTGAATGAATTAAGCTAGTTTCTATAGCTGTCATAGGACCGCATTTATAATGCTGCATTCTAGTCCGAAGTACTATAAAAAAAAAGAACGTTACTTCTACTCATTAACCAAACGATTACAGCCTTATCTCGCACGAGGTCTGGATTACTGTGTTGAAGAAAAGTTCGTAGGCGAATAGTTTTGGTTTTGTAATCCTTTGTAATACTCAAAATGACAAAGCAGGGTATATTAAATGAGTATAGATAGATAGATGCCTTTTCCATTTTACTTATCAAATTACAGTCCATTTATGAAAAAGGAATGTTCAATTTAAAAGCAGATGCTACAGGATTCTAGGATCCTTTAAAAGAAGATATGATTTTGGTTTCCTCTTTTTTAATGGTTTGCTTCAAGGTATTTTGAAGAGTATACAAGTACAAAATATATAGTTTTTATTTCTACTAGCAGCAGAGATCTCTTTCCCGGCTGCTCGTCCGCTTCTTCAGCGGGCTCAGACGAATCGTACCCTTGTGAGCGGTGGCAGATCCTAGAGCCTGTTGAGCCTTGGCCTGAGTTTTCGAAGGCTGTCTGCGCATGCTGTGATTGCTGAGATGAATGTTGGATGGCAGTGTGAGACGATTGAAAACGTTGACTGCCATGCTTATGAATACTTCCTCCACATTAGCACCGCTCCGAGCAGAGGTCTCCATAAAGGGAATACCGAGGCTTTCGGCATACATGGCTGCCCCTTGGTGGCTCACCTGTCGCTGCCCAATGATGTCGCATTTGTTACCCACCAGCATGATGTTGATGTTGTTGTTCGTATGCCGTCCGATCTCGCGCAGCCACACATCGATGTTCCGATAGCTCTGACGATGGGTCGTATCGTAGACAAGGAACACACCATGCGCCCCCCTATAGTAGGAGGTGATGACCGAACGAAAACGCTCCTCACCCGCCGTATCCCAGATCTGTAGCTTCACCATTTGTCCGGCCACCTCAATGGTGCGAACCTTGAAGTCGATGCCGACAGTGCAAATATATTGGCCCGTGTATCTTTTATCCGCGAAGCGCATCAACAGACAGGACTTTCCCACTCCGGCGTCGCCGAGCATGAGCAGCTTGAAGAGGTATTTGTATTCAAAGTCCATTTTTATTTAAAAGTACTAGCAACGACTAGGATGTTGCAGGACTTTTGAATGGAATCTGAAATAAGAGTCGCAGGCATGCTAGTAATTATAGCAGGATACTATAGTATATGAAGACTGTAGACTGTACGAAAAGATATATAAAGTTGCCCTCTATCGGTTTTTATACCCAGTATCGTGTAAATAGTATGCTAAGTTTGTAAGAGGCAGAGTATATATAGGGTGCGCCATCTTTTATGTCGGTATGTAAACATTGAATATCTTTGAAAATAAACAACCGATTTTCAAGTACGAGATATTAATATTTAATTTGGTTCTGTACAATTTCTTCAGACTAATTTTTCAACACTGGTCTACTCAAGTCAATCGGTTCACTAATGACAAAGTTATTCAATATTTACATACCGACCTAAAAGATGGCGCACCCTGTATGTATGTTCTCAATCAGCATGACAACAGAAATCAATCTAGACATGTCTGTCCGTTCGTCCGTCTGGATGAACGCCTGGATTTCAGAGACGTCTGAGCTCACATTAACCAGACGCTGTATGTAGACGCTCCTAGTTTCTGGGCAATACGATTTTTTTTTTATTTCCTCCCCTCTTCCTGCTACAGAATTTTGTCTATACTGTCCACATTTCAAAAGCGTTATATAAAATAAAAACACAACTTTCACACATGAAGAAATTTCTACTTTTGTTTCAAATTTTAATTTGATTCTAAAAAAAAATGTTATTAGCGGATCAATTGCACTCCAATACTACGCCCACAAACTCCAGCATCAAGTTTGCTCTTCTTCTTCTTTTTATACCCTGTACCCGTAGGGTAAAAAGTATGTAACAGCCAGAAGGAAGCATCTCCGATCCCATAAAGTATATATATTCTCAATCAGCGTGACGAGAAAAATCGATCTAGACATGTCCGTCCGTCTGTCCGTCCGTCTGTCTGGATGAACGCAAGCATCTTCGAAACTATAAAAGCGGGAATAACCAAAGTTGGTATCCAGATTCTCCTAAGTCCGAGGAAGAACGAGTTTATTTTATTTTTTGGAAATAAATAATAGTACAAGTAGTATAAAAGGGGATAGCAAGAATTTAGTTCTTATACCTACGTTTGTATGTTGATTAGATAAGATCTAGTCGCTGGGTTATCAGGAATTAAGGAAAAATCTGTAAAAACTAGCTCTTCCAAAAAATACCCCAAATATTTCAGAAGACAGTACGTTTATATTTTGATTTTTGTAAGGCATAGCATCTACTACGTGTATTTTAAGTTTTTTCGCAAGTTGAGTTCCTCTTGCTTGTCTTTTTCATTTCGAAAATCTTCGCCTGTCCTTTTGAGCCTCCACTTTCTAAATGATCCTAATGATGCGCTCCTGCCAGCTGTGCCAAGGCACCACATAAAAGTACATTACAACATTAAAGGTAACTCAAACAGCAAGTTCGGGCGGTCATAGTTCAAGAGGTCGTCGCATCCAGCTGAAGGGGGCAGCAGCACCTTTAAGCCCCATTGCACATCATCATCAACATCATCATGGAGCATCGGGAGGAGCGGAAACAGCCACGGCAATATAATGCGCGCTGTCGGTGATTAACGCAATTAAACAGGTGCTCAAAATGATGTTTCCAGTGGATTAGCCACGAGTTGGCAACATTCCCACCCATCGCTGTTCCGCACAGAAAATGCCGCTAATAAGCGCCACATTAGCAACATGCGCCACATTAATCCAATGTGGGTTTTGAGCAGCGCCATTATTTTGGGGTTGGGGCTCCGCCTCTACTCCACTTTCCATCTCTTTCACGCTTGCTACTTGCTGTTCGGCGGAAGGGGGGAGGGGGGAGGAGGGAAGGGAGGCTGGCAGTGTCTGACGTTAAAATTCCATTAGCCTCACACGCTGGCCCCATAAGGTGCACAATGGTGGGCATTGGTGGGTGACGTCGCTCCTTTATGATTTGTAGGTGTTGTTGTCTGTAATTATCATTGCTGGACTGAGGGCTGATGGCTGCTGGCTGAATGAGAGATTCGTCAGAGTCCGTGGCGGTCCGGCGTGGGAACAGGTGGTGGCTGTGTCCTAAACAATATCAAGTCTTTAAGTGCTTACGTATAGTACCGGCACATTGAAATGCAAATTTCAAAGTACAAAATTCCCATTAGGGAAGGGGGGGATTTCAAGTTATGCAATTGGGCCTTTATGTTCGCACGACCTCCACAGCACAATGACCGACGATTGAAAACAATTTTTCATTTAGCCAAAAAGCTAACAAAAAAGAAAAAACAAGAGATTGAAACAAATGCTTTTTGTATTGTCTTCTAGGTTTTTGTGAGTCGCATAAACTGCTAATTGAACAGTTTTGTTTATTGTTAAAATACTAATAAAAGCAACAGTAATAAAAGAGCAAGCCAACTATTTAATGACAGCAGCTACCCACACACTCAAAAGCACACAAAAGCGCTGGGAAATCTAGTGGAACACTGAACTCGATGTACGGTGAATGCCCCCAAACAGTGAATGGTTCTAAATGAATACTTTATACCCTTAAGGTATAGTCACACGACCAAATAATTTGCACATCGATCTGTAGAATTCTGCAGGTATGTTATGAATGCAATGTTACTTTGTATAAAACTAAAAAGCATTCTGTGTTAACTTTTTTTTCTACTTTTCCCAGCCTACTCGTAAAATAGCACAGTTGTGTGTGCAAATTATTTGCATGTGTGACCACAGCTTTGGGGAAAATCGAGAATTTTGCACTTTAACTCCTGTGCCAAACTAAAGAGTCTTTCCTTAAGTGCGATCTTTTTGAAACTATTCTCAATCTCTAAGCTCTATTATACACTTTAAAAAAGCCGTTCAAAATACATACATACTTGATATTGAAAGACCATTCGACCTGAAACGTTCCGATTGCCATATAATTGGTAACCTGGTATCTAAACATGGAGAGATTAGATGGATAGTTTTACGCGCATTAATATGGAATCTCTGGCTCGTACAGCCAATTATAATATTATCCAATTTGTGCAAGTTTGAGAGAAGAACAAGCTAATGCTGTTGAAGAAGCTCCTCCACAAAATTTACAACATCTGCGATGATCGCGGCATAATTTGTTTCAGTGCAGATAAATGACCATATATATTTGGAGGATATTTAAACTGATGATAGATAAATAGCTGGATGGATAGGCATAAAAATGTTATGCAGGTAAGCAAATAGATTACCTAATAAATTGCCTACAAAATTTATTGATTATTATTTAAAATATGAACGCCTCCTCACTAAACAACTTATAATTTGAAACTGGCATTAACCTGAGACGGATAATTCCATAACTTCTGTGTAAATAGTTGGAAGGATCGTTCGATGGAATGATAGTTTAATAGAAATATAGATAGTTATATAGGCTGCGAGATGTCGGTAAACAAATGGATTGATAGACTCAAATTTATTGATTAATAGAAAACGGAATATAGAACGCATCCGAAACAAAGGACGCTTGTATCATTAAAAATGTAGAGCTTGTTCTACAGAAAGAATATATTCAGCTATTCCGTTGGAGCCCCCACTGTGACTCGATACATTGCTACCGGGGCCACAGTTGGATGACACAGAGAAGTTAAGCCCGCTTTGGGGGCAATGCTGTGGAAAAATTACGGAAAAAAGTAAACAGAAACCCCATTAACGATTACAAAAAGCAACAACAGAAAGCACTTTGCAAGTTGTTGTTATTATTGTTGTAGTTGCCGTTGTTGCTGAATTGTTCGTGAAAAACAATTACAATTACAATTTTGCAAACAAAGATAATTTGCGAATGAGATCGAGACGCGATATAATGACGACAATGTCGACATACAAGAACACACACATACAACTACATATGTATGCATGTATGTATGTATGTATGTATGTGTAATGGGGGGTGAACTTTTAAATTAAATAACAGGCTAATCATAACTGTCGAGATCGTCATCTTCATCAATTCAGTAAACGATCCAAGGCTACTCGCCACCGTTAAGGGCAGACAAGGGGCCGCCGCTACTTAGCTTCTACATCTCCGAGTGGCCGCGCCGCCTCCGCTTCAATCACTTTGTGCTAATCAGCCGCAACTAAAACGATCCTCCGTGCTGCGCAGCTTCAACATACTCACCAACGATCGTCGTCGTCGTCTTCGTCGACTTCGTCGTTGTCGCTCACCGAACTCACCACATATAGGCTCTCGTGTGCAGTGCTGCCAGTTCTCAAGTGCAAGAAAAAGCTAGATCAGTCTAGAAATGGCCAAAACAAATGATAATGCTTTTTTTCAACGTTATTATTCCTACATTGTTGTCAGACGTTTCAGCTTGTCTTGAAGGACTTTTAAGCTTTTATTTTACATACGATCCAAAACACTACAATATATTGGGAAACAATATATATTATTATTCCTACATTGTTGTCAAAAGTTTGTCTTGAATGACTTTTATTTTACATACGATCCAAAACACTACAATATATTGGGAAACAATATCTACATTAACAAAATAGTATTTCAGGCAAGTTTCAAGAAATGTTATTCTAAAGAAGGCTACAGATGTACTAGTCTGATATTAGTTTTCATCTAGGGTACAATTTCTTCTTTTAAATACTAAAAAAAAAGCTAAAACTTAAAGTAACACCATGACAGAAAATACTACTGCAACAAAATATGGTTGTTTCCGACCTATGAAGACATATATTTTCATATAACTAAGAACTAAAACTAAGATCAGTAAACTACAGTATACTTTTACTGTAACACAAACAGCTAAGCTTTCAATAAAGCTTTGAAATATAATTTTACAATCGGTAATTGGCATATAGTATACATATTCACATTTGATCTACAACTGGCGGGAAAATAGCTTAAGTGGTAGCACCGCTAGTGTGCATGTCAGCGTAGGCAACAGTGGGTTGATAAATGCTAAAAAGTGCGCGTGTCACCACCTTCATTAACTGACCCAGTGAACATGTGTAATCCAAAAATCTGGTTTCCCAACAACCACAGCTATAAACGTGACTT